TCATCTACAAAAATTGGAAATAACAATTCCTATCTCATAGGGTTGTAGTGAGGATTAAATGAGAGTACCCATAGGTGCCTGGTGGTATTTCATGTAGAAGGAGGTAGTTAACTTGAACAGAGAGAAGCGAGTGGTCCCCGGCTTCCCCTGCCCTCTTCTCTGTGACCCTAACATCTGGGACTTGTCTGGCAGCTGTGGTCCTCCGAGAAGCTCAGAGGACTGGAACTGGGAGCAGAGTTGGAACAACAGCCTACACTTTGCTTTTGTAGAGAGCCTCTAGCCGTTCTTCTTTGTCATATCCTCACCTGGCCCTCCCGCTGTGGGCCAAAGCCCGGATGCAAGGGGCAGGGATGGCGGGCAGCACCTAGTGGTCTAGAGAGGGAGTCAGCACAGCTGAGTGCTAGCTGAGAGCTGAATGCTGAGAGCATTTGTCTTCCTTCCCCGGCCCCCACCTCACACCCATTAGCCCCCATGAAGCCTTTGCTCTGGGCAAGGCTAGTTCTGCATATCCCGGCCCCACCCCACCCTGCCTTAGCCACGTGACCTCCACTCGATTCCTCCCCAAGGATCAAACATGATTCTGCTCTACCAGAGGGAGAGGAAGTGCACGTCCCCATGCTCTTTCACTGGGGGGCTGTGATTGTCCCCCAGGTGGTCTGGGATGAGGGTGGTAGTGCTACTTAGTATTGCCCACCTCTGGGAATGAATAGGGCTGGGTGGGAGAGAGAGTAGATCAGTCATCATATTCTCCATATGGAATAAGAAATAACCTATAATATTACCCTGACTTCTAAAATGCCACTGCAGGTGTCGACCAGGTTACTACCATCTGGATGGGGGGAACCCTGAGGGCTGTACCCAGTGTTTTTGCTACGGACATTCAGCCAGCTGCCGCAGCTCGGGGGACTACAGTGTCCATAAAATCACCTCTGACTTCCAACAAGGTAAGGTTGTTCTGTTTTCTAGAATTTTGTTGTTGACATTGTGTAGGGCTCTGTGCTTACAGATAACCCCCTCACTATGCATCGGGTGGGATACCCAAGCCACCTTCTGCAATGCTCTCCTAGCGTTTAATGTATGTTAGCTTGACAAGGCAATAAGGCAGACCCGGTGTCTTGAAAAAGTATAGCTGAACAGTTCCCTCACCCCAGTGTATGAAAAACTTAAAAGAATAACTAAAAAGAGACCAGGCCTTCTTCTCCCTGCATTTCCCATCCTTAGCTGTTTCAAAACCACATAGAATCACTCAGTCATGGGATTGGGGTGGTGGCAGGGAGCGGGGGTATAGGAGAGTTTTCCTGGAATTCACATTCACTAATAATACTGCTTTCACATACAATAAATGAGTTAATTTCTGTGAAATGAGTTACCAAGCTACAACACACC